TATTTCAGGGACTGATTTCACACCAATAAGGTAAGGTCTTTAACAGCACTTCTCACAATCACCTATTTGTTTTTCCTTGACCATGAACCATTTTCTCCCCAAACAAAAATAGCAGTATTGTTTTCTTTGGGTGTCACGATTGAGGCTACACTTTCTCTGTCTTCTAACAAAAAACTTTAAGGTGCCAACCAATCTCAACTTGCGCCAGGCTTTTATGTCCTTGTTTTGATGACAGGGAAACCACCTGTCATCAAGTTGTGTGTATCACCCAGGACTGTCATCCTACTCCTGTGCCTAAATATCACAGATAGGAGAGGGGGTGTCCTGTCTGCACTTTGAGGAAAGTGTCAATGGAGCACACAGAAAATGCTAAAGACAGCCTAGGGCCTCCACCTTGGCCCACGAGGTCCTCCTGCCTCCAAGGCTGTAAATATTTTTTTTAAGAGTAACAAAACAGGGCCCGGAGCGGTGGCGCAAGTGGTTAAAGGTCCTCGCCTTGCTCGCCCGGGATCCCATATGGACGCCGGTTCTAATCCCGGCAGCCCCGCTTCCCTTCCAGCTCCCTGCCTGTGGCCCAGGAAAGCAGTTGAGGACGGCCCAAGGCTTTGGGACCCTGCACCCGCGTGGGAGACCCGGAAGAGGCTCCTGGCTTTGGCTGGGCATAGCATCGGCTGTTGCGCTCACTTGGGGAGTGAATCATCGGACGGAAGATCTTCTTCTCTGTCTCTCCTCTCTGTATATCCGCCTTTCCAATGAAAAAATAATAAATCTTTAAAAAAAAAAAGAGTAACAAAACAATGTAAAAGGGGTCATTTCAACTCAGAATCCCCCTAGTAGCAGCCTCCTTTTTATCTTCTGTGACAAATACCTTTATCAACAATTCCTCTGCTCTCGGAGAACTTAACTTTAAAGACTCAACTATTACAGAGAAAACAAAAATTTGGGCACTGTGGTAGAGACAGTGAAGTACTGTCATACAACAGATAGACTTATTTAAAACTTAGGAACAGCTTTCCAAAGAAATAGTTATTTTTTTTTCTAATTCCATTGTTAGATCTGCACAATGGCATATTGTCACAAGTTCTAAAGTCAGAATTTGAGAAATCTGTGGAAATACAGAGTTTCACAAATACCTTGGAAGTCTGGGGGAAAGCAGTTTAGAGTATAGCCATTTTAAAAACACATTATCAATCTTACTCGAACAAAATCAATTCTAATCAAGATTATAGAAAATCACAGACAAACCAGGCAAAAAAGAAATACAAGTGGGCTAACCTCAGAAACATAACTAAAACTTGATTCTAAAGTCCCTATCTGAAAAAAAAGTAATTAGCTAAAGCACAAATGATCGCACTTCTATCTAAATCAACAGTCCCAATCTGCTCCCAGAGCCTTAATCCTTAGTCTCACTGTGAAGTAACTGGCCAAAGTAACCTACAAGAAACAAGAGGGAGAAAACAAAAAGAGAAGCGAGATGTATAATTTTAACTTTTGGGAGTGATGAGCAAAAACCCAACAATAAACATACATAGTAATTTTTATTCAACTTCAGAAGCAGTGTGACCCTCCTGAAGCCTATTTAAGGGTCCCAGGTGAAAAAATCCAGATCTATGTGCCAGTGCTGTGCAATGCTGGCATCCGCATGGGCACAGGTCCAGTTCCCTGTTAAAGGCCTAGGCAAAGCAGAAGACAGTCCAGGTGCTTGGGGCCCTCCCCCCAAAGAAGAGACCTAGAAGAATTTCCTGGTTGCAACCATCACAGGAGTGAAGCAACAAGACAGAATATCTCTTACCATTCTCTCTCTACAGTGCTTTCAAAGAAACAAAATAATTTAAAAAATAATTAGAAAGTCAGTGGGGTTTGCACTGTGGTACAACAGGTAAAGTGGCTGCCTGGAACATCCCAAGCGGGGCTCTACCATTTCTGATCCAGCTCCCTGTTGGTGGCCTAGGAAAGGCAACGGAAGATGGCTCAAGAGCCTGGGTTCCCGATACCCATGAGGGACACCTGGATAACGCTCCTGGTTTGGCCTGGCTCAGCTCTGACTGTGGCATCTACCAAGGGAATGACCAGACAGAGGACTTCTCATTTTTTTCCTCTCTTCAAATAAATTCAGAAATCTTGTGGTGGGGGGGTGGGGAATAACTGTAAAACATAACAAAATTAAGAGAGCTAGGTCTAGGATTATTAGAAGTTGCAAGGATTGGAAGGCATTAGTGTGTACTGAGTCATTTTATGAGTTATCTAATTTAATTTAACCCCTACAATAGCCTAGGGAAGCATCCTCTTTTCCAAAAAGGGAAAGCTATATTCAGAGATGAAACAACAAATATGTGATTTTCTCTAGACTCAGTTTTTCTAACCCATATATACACAATTATAGACTAGAGATTTCAAAAAATCAACTTCATACTCCTGGAAATCTCCCAAGATGGAGAGCTTTGGATTTCCACAGTTTCACTTAAATAATCTATTTATACCTCTTCTTAACCCAATCTCACCGACAAGAGGAACGGGTTCTTGGAGACCAGCACTGCAGCATGGCACACTAAGTTACAGCTTGCAATGACAGCATCCTTTAGGAGTACCAGCTACTTTTTACTTCTCATCCAGTTCCCTCTTAATGCACCTAAGAGCAGTAGAGCGCAGCCCAGCTGCTTGGGCAACTGCCCCCCACATGGGAGAACTGGAGAGTTCTTTACTACTTGGCTTCAGAATGGCCCACCCTGGGAGCAGTCTTTGGGGAGTTAGGGGTGTACGGAAGTGTGCCCTCTTTCAAATACATAAATAAATCTTTTATAGCCCTCTGAAACATCTTTTCTTGGTAAGAAAATAATGTTAACCCCAAACCACAGGCATAGGCCAAAAAGTTTTGATAGTAAGAGTATCTTCATTTCTGAGGCTACCTGGCATGGGTATGCTACTTGCTAGAAGAATGTAGGAGTCAACTTTGTAAGTGCGAAAAAATCTTCAAACTGCCTCTGCCCCCAATCTGCCATGTCACAGAATTCAAAACCTCAGCCTCTACTCCAAGGTAGAGGTAGAAGGCATGAAGGACAGGCAGTCTGAGCAACAACATCCTCCAAATGGTGAGAGCAGTTTAACCCCCACCCCTCCAAAAAAAGAAAGGAGGCATTTCTGCTTAGCACTATGGCACAGCAGATTAATAAGTCTCATTTGCATTCCCTATCTGAGAAACACTTGAATCCACTTTCTAATCTAGCTCTCTGCTAACGCACCTGCGAAAGCGACAAAAGACGATCCAAGCACTTGTGCCCCGGCCATCCAAGTGAGAAGGCCCAGACGGCGTTCCAGGCTCCTGGCTTCAGCCTGTTCCAACACCTGTGCTGTCGCCACTTGTGGAGTGAACCAGGGAATGGAAGTTCCCTGCCTGTGTCTTTCTACCTTCCTATCATTCCGCCTTTCAAAGAAGTCTTAAAAAAAGACCTCTAACAGGCACTAACAATTTGACAGGATGCACATGGGCCTTTTGTGCCTCAAGCAGGTAAAGAGGCCTTAGATCTTCATAAGGAATCGGTCAATGAATATATCCTAACAGAAAAAAAGGGGAAAAATGTATCCACACCACTTAATTTGGCTGGTCTCTTTATCCATATATAGCACCCAGTCTAACATTAATACATTTAATCACCCTACACTGGAATTACCAAAAAAAAAAAAAAAATCCTGTTTTCACAGAATCTGAAACCCTTACGGAAAATGCATCCACACCCAAAGCCAGAAAACTAAAAACAAGAGTGGGTTAGGGCCTCTAAAACTCTATTTCCTATGACAGTTGCCACCTAGTGATCTTAATTTTTTAAGCCCAGGCGAACAGCCAATTCAACACGAAAACCGGACTAACAACTGATTTTTCCTATTGCAACATCACCCACAAATCCTGTGCTCTCCCTCTCCTTCCACTGCCCTCAAACAGCAACTCTTAAAGTCAACTAACTGTCTCCACAGGACCTGCTCCGGTTGGAAGCTCTCACACACCACTGGTGCTACCCTTCTCCCAGCGCTAGGAGGCCACGGCCACTTTGAGTACCAAAGGGCAGGTGCTAAAAACAAGAGGAAAACTTGCCAATAGTAACAGTGAGCCACCTTCCAAGCTGCCAAAGCTGTACCTACATGAGCTGTGGATAAAAATCTCATCACACTGCGTGTCTCCAGGTGAGAAATCCAACGGTACAAGACCATACGCTCTCTGGGACACCAAACCTCACTCAAAGCCTTGTCCTTCCTAAACACAGGTGTGGTGCAGCCATCAGATGGCAAACACGGACTCCGCAGAGAAAATTCTTGACACCTGACCCGATTCCCATCTGGAGGCATCCCTGCAGCTGCAGGTATCTCCTTCCCTGGAGTATGGCTTGACCAAACAATTTGAAACTAACCAATAACCAGCTGCAGGCAATAAAGCCTTATTTCACGGAAAAGAATTCTGGCAGGTCACATCAAGACTGACGATCCTTCTGGATCACCTGTGATGATCCTTCTGGAACATCCTAAAATCTGTACCTTAAATCCCTCAGAAATGGGGCTGCATGAGACCTGGGGTTAACATTTTCCAAATGCAAAATTCACTGCCAGAAGTCAGTATGGAGTGGCAAGGCTCCTGCATTGAATACCAACACCACAAGCATTGGTGGAGATGTTTCCCGGAGCAGAGAATTTCCTCGGCACTCCTGTTCTCCGCAAGGTGGTCAGACCTGAAGGGATGTAGGTTGAACTGTCTGCTGCTCCCGGCGACTCATAACCCAGAAGGCTGCGCTGGCTGCACCTCACCAGGCCTGTATGGCAGGGCTCTGCTCCAACAGTTCCGGGACAGGAAGCCCCCGGAAGCCCAACTTTCCAGACTCACTGCCTCCCCTCCCCCGCCTCGGGCAGCATCCTCCTAGGGAGACCGGGGAAGGTGGGCACAAGTTCTCCGCCCTGGCCAGGCCAAGAACACTTGCCCCTGGTCGCACCAACTCCACCATTGGGGCTGCACTCACCTTCCCGGCAGAGCCCCATGACTTCGCGGTTTTTCCCAAACTCCTTGAAACTTTCTTCCAATTCCGTCCCTAGGAGATACACACACACGGGAGGAGGGGAGAGGCAGGTCAGTGGCCGGGAGTGTGACGCACGCTCACGCACGCACGGGGTAGGTGTGGGCACCTCCGCGTTCCGCAACCCAGCGAGCAACAGCATCCCTGACCCCCGGGGGGCGGGTCGCAGCGCGGGCGCGGGTGATGGAGGGCAGCACGGGGATGAGGGGAAGGGGAGGCTCTGGGGAACCAGGAGGGCGTGGACACTTACCATCTTTCCCTGGAAGTTTGGAAGCCTCGACCCACAGATTCCACGACTGCCCCAGCATCGCTTCAGGACTGGGCAAGGGCCTGCGTTCGCCAACCGTCGCCATTGCGGCGGCCGAGGTGGAGGCGGCGCCGGGGCCGCCGTCCTCCGGCCGCAGGCGCCGTGGCGGCGGCTGCTGCCGCTGGGGCTGCGGAGGCTGCAGAGGCGGCTGCTGCTGCTGCTGCTGCTGCCGGGCGGCCGCTGCTCCGCCCGCCGCGCGGCGCGGCTCCCCCCTGACGTCATCCGCGGCCCGCTCCGACATTCTTTCCGCTCCTGCAATGTAACAAAAAGGGGGAAAAGAGTCGCGCGGGGGCCGCTTTTAAGGAGGCGCCGAGGAGTTCCGGCGGCACGCGCGGCCCGCAGGCCGGGTGGGGCGCGCTGACAGCGCCCCCCGGCTGCCCGGCCCCCGGCGCCTCCTCCCGGGCCGCCCCCCGCCCCCGGCGCAAAGTCCGCGGCTCCGGCTCGCTTTCGCTTTCGTCTCCCGCGACCCGCGCGCGACGGAGAGTTGGGGCCGCCGGGAGCCCGCCACCGCGACGCTGGGTCCCCTGCCCACGGCGCCCGGCGTGAAGGCCGGCTCCGGGGCCGCCTGCGTCCCCGCCTCGCGCCCCGCCGCGGCAGCCCGTGGGGAGGCCCGAGCCTCCCGCCGCCGGTCCCCGAGCCGCCTACCCCGCGGCAGCTCGCATCCCCGGGCCAGGCCGCCGGCCCCGCTCCTTCCTTCCGTCCGCGCGTCCGTCCGAGCGGCGGCGCCCGACCGGCTCCCTTAAGCGGAGGCGCCTCCCGCCGCCTCCTCCCCCTCGCCGGTCCCTCCCTCTCTGCTCGCTCCGGCGAAGTTTGCACGTCAAGCCCCCGGAGTGGAGCCAGGGCCAAGTCGGAAACGCAGCCACCTATGGAGGAGCCGGCCGGCTGGCCCCGGGGCACCGTCCACTACGTCGTCCGGCCCTCTCGCCTGGGGCTGGGTCTCGGGGCGAGGACCTGGGACCTCGAGCGCTGCGCTCTCAGCTCCCGGGCAGCCACACAGTTGTCAAAAAGCATGAATGGGAAACCCGCCGCCGAGCGGACGGCTGGGACACAGGAAAACCACGGGCCGGCGTGGAAAAGCCACCCAGGTGACACCCAGGTGATACCCCGAAGCCATGCGCACGCGGTGCGCGTCTTGGCGCCCACAACTGGAGGTCTCAAGTTTGGGCCCGGGGACTTGGCCCCCAGCTAGGGAAGAGGAAATCAGTGTCAAGAAGAAACAAACAGGCGATCCTTAATCCCACTTACTTGTTTCACAGACACTAACTACCCAGAGTTCCTGTATTTCCACCTCCATTGATCCTGGAAGTGATTCATTCACCCCCAAAATAAAAAATCTTGCCATTTGAAAATATGATTCCTTTTAAATGAAAGTTGCTAAGGCTCTCCCTCTTTTGCTCATCCAAGGCTTAGGGGGAATGTATGAAGCCCTAGAAGACGTGTTTAGAAGAAACGGTATTCGGTCCGATTTTCTTCACTGAACGCTGCCCCAACACTTCCGCTCCAGCACAGACAACACAACAGTTTGGGCTGGAGAGATGCACTGAAGATGGTCAAATCAAAGGCTACCCAATGAAGGAAAGCATTCAAAGGAGTTGAAACAGTAGCAGACCACACGAAGCACTTTCAGTAAGTGTTGCTATTATTACTCTTTATCTAAGGCTGGTGTGAAAAAGTGAAGGCTGAGGCAGAAACAGTGATTCTGAGCCTCAGGTTTCAGCCTGCAGTAACACCAGTCCTGTGACTAGCAGGAACTGCTTTCCTGCAGTCTTCTCTGACTACACATCCAGGGGCTTCATTACCTGGGGGCGTTTTCTTCTTTTTTAAAAATTTAAAAATTTTTATTGGAAAGCCAGATCTAGAGAGAGGAGAGGTAGAAGGAAAGGTCTCCCATCCACTGTGTCACTCCCCAAGTAGCCCCCAATGGCCGGAGCTGAGCTGATCAGAAACCAGGAACTTCTTCCAAGTCTCCCACGCAGGTGCAGGGTCCCAAGGCTTTGGGCCATCCTCGACTGCTTTCCCAGACCACAAGCAGGAGGCTGGATGGGAAGGGGCAGCAAGATCAGAACTCATAGCCATATGGGATCCCAGTGCATGCAAGGTGAGGACTTTAACCACTAGGCTACCATGTTGGGCCCACCTGTATTTTTTTTTTTTAATCTCAAAACATCTGACAGAGGTGGCTATTTTGCTGATAGAATAAAGCTCAACTTGCAGAAGCATACAAATGTTTAAATAGTGGTAAAATATTAATAAGGAAATGTTTGAGCCCCTGTAACACCAGGTTCTGATGAAGAGTGGTTGTTTTTGTTTTTAAATCTAAAAGCTTGTACACATATGTAAGAATTTCTAAGAGATGTAGAAATAACTGTGTCAAATGCATCCAAGTCTGGAAAGTTTAAAGAGATGCCTCCAATAGTTTTAAAATGCAAGTGGCCATCCAGATCTGCAGGTGATAACTCCACAGAGTCAACTGACCAGAGACTAGAAAATAGTCTTTAAGAAAGGGGGCCTGGTGCAATAAGCCTCGTAGCTAAAGTCTTCACCTTGGACCCCCGCACCCACATGGGAGATCCGGAAGAAGCTCCTGGCTCCTGACTCCTGGTTTTGGATTGGCACAGCTCTGGCCATTGTGGCCACCTGGGGAATGAATCAGCAGACAGAAGATCTTTCTCTGTCTTTCCTCCTCTCTATATATCTGCCTTTCCAATAAAAATAAATCAGTTTTAAAAAAAAATTGCTGTGCTCAACCTGTACAGGCTTTGTCTTGTTGTCCTTATTCCCTAAACAATATACTGCCAGAGCGATTTATATGGCATTTACCGTGTATTAGCTATTAGCAGACTTTCAGAGATACAGTTAGGAGGATGCGCAACGGTTCTATGAAGGTCTCCAGCTGCCTGCTGACACACACCCTAGGCAGCAACAGGCGATGCCTCCGGTAGCCGGATCTCTGCCACCTGCATGGCATGTCAATATGTGTTTATAAAAAAAAAAAAATCAGTGGAAAAATAACTTTAGGCTACGCACTCACATAGATACCCAACTCCCAGTTCCTCTGCTATGTGAAAGGACGGGCTGAAAATGAAAACAGGATGACAAGCATGAAGGACATGCTTGCCCCAACACATATGCTCATTTCCCTCCTTCTGCACGTGAGTAACGTTTACTAATATGATTGCCACTTGGGGAGACTGATCTAACACTTCCATTTCTCTCATTTTTGTTTCAGGTCTCCAACTTTTTGGATGCTTTAATAAAAAGTAACCGAGGCTTAAGATGAAAACACACTAAGCATTCTCTTAGCACTAATGACAGCTATTACAGGAAGCGGTTACTAGTAGCGGTTGTCAATTATTGAGTACCTGCCAGGTGCTAGGCATGGCGGGACATCCCTCACTGCATCATTTCAGTAGTCAAAATTGTGCAGGAGTTGAACTGTTTACAATTCCATGTGGAGGACATAAGGAAGGGCTCTGAAGCCAATCTTGCTATTGATGGGTCCCGATATGGACTCTTCCATTTATAAGCTGTGCAACCTTGGGCAAGTTACCTAATCTGCCAACACTTCTGTTTCCTAATCTGTAAAACGGAGTAAGGCTGCACTGCTTCTGAGCATTACATAAAAAGATACACGGAAAACACTGAGAGGGCCTAGCGCCGTGGCCTAGCAGATAAAGTCCTCGCCTTGAACACTCTGGGATCCCATATAGATGCCGGTTCTAATCCCAGCAGCTCCACTTCCCATCCAGCTCCCTGCCTGTGGCCTGGGAAAGCAGTCAAGGACGGCTCAAAGCTTTGGGACCCTGCACCCGTGTGGGACACCTGAAAGAAGTTCCTGGTTCCCAGCTTCAGACTGGCGTAGCACCTGCCGTTGCAGTCACTTGGGGAGTGAATCATTGGATGGAAGATCTTCCTCTCTGTCTCTCCTCCTCTCTGTACATCTGACTTGGTAATAAAATAAATAAATCTTAAAAAAAAAAAAAAGAAAAGAAAAGAAAGCACTGAGAACAAAGCTGAACACAAAATAAGTCAGGTCGAACTGAGCAATTCAGTTCAGCCTTTACTGAGGAAGTTTACTACCAAACTGAAAAGAACAGGGGACAGAGAGTCCGACACACAAACTGCTGGCATCTGCCCAACAAATCTTTTTTTTCGCTGCAGCTGGGATCAATTTTACTATTTACAGCTATAAAAAGTCCTACTAGCAACTGCCTATTCTGATATCCCAAGTTGTTTTGGGTTTCCTCATAGCTGAAATGTATCATGAACAAAAGTGAAAAATGGAAGCTAAAGAACTATACCTAGTGGGCCCAGCATGATAGCCTAGTGGCTAAAGTCCTTGCTTTGAATGCACCAGGAGCCCATGGAGGCACCAGTTCAGATCCCAGCTGCTCCACTTCCCATCCAACTCCTTAGGATGGGAAAGCAGCAGAGGATGACACAAAGCCTTGGGACCCTGCACCCACACTGGAGACTCGGAAGAAGCTCCTGGCTCCTGCCTTCAGATCACCTCAGCTCCAGTTGTTGGGGCCACTTGAGGAGTGAACCAGAGGATGGAAAATCTTTCTCTCCTTGTCTTTATAAATCTGACTTTTCAATTAAAAAAAAAAAATCTTACAAAAAAGCACCTAGTATTCAGACTTGGGCAGCATTTAAATAATGTTTATTTTTCTAAAGATTTAGTTTTTTTATTGGAAAGTCAGATTTGCAGAGTCAAGCAGAGACAGAGAAAGATCTTCCATCAGCTATAATAACTGGAACTGAGCATATCAGGAGCCTGGAGCTTCTTCTGGGTCTCCCATGTGGGTGCAGGGCCCCAAGGCTTTGGGCCATCCTCTCTTGCTTTCCCAGAACTCAGGCAGGGAGCTGGATGGGAAGTGGAGCAGCTGGAATACAAACCGGCACCCATATGGGATCCTGGTGCATGAAGGAAGGGACTTTAGCCACTAAGCTACTTTGCTGGGCTGTAAACAATGTTTCTTATATAAAGAACATTGTCTATAAACAAGACTACAACAGAACAACTCCATTTTATCAACAATGCCATAATAAAAAAAATGGATGATCTCGTACCTAAATACTCCCCCTCCTACACTGAAATACATGGAAATAGCCAGGACAATTCATGCTCAGTCAATATAAGGTTTTATTTTGTCCTGAACCTGGCAGTAGTGTGCCTTTTTATGAGAGCAGTCAGTGCTTCTGCCAGTGTACACCTCAGGACATCTCACACTGCTGAGGAGCGGCACTACCTACCTGAATCTTTCAACAGACATTTTATAAAGGTGTGAATAAAGGGGACTCAACGGACCCAACAGTTCCTTACTGCCTGTCCCAGGGTGCTTACAACATATTAATGATTTTGCTAAGGACAAAAACGTAGGAAGTGGGGCAAATATTTTAATTCATCTGACTGCTCTTACGGAGAAAGTCGTCACCACCAATGAGACGGTATGTAGCTCGAGAACTAGGTTGTCAGAAGTGAAATGCTGCCAAATGCGGAACATTTTAGCCCTTCCAAGGATGTATTTAAAATATGATCTTACTTCACCATCCAAATTTAGGGATGTTCCCAGGAGGTGCCAAGGGTAACAAGGTCTGTCTTTATACAAAGGATTTTTTTTGCATAGCACATTCACTGGTAAAAAGCTCTGCTCAAAGGCATAACAATGTACCCCCTTTCCTCCAAAAGTTGCTATTTCCCATCTTTAGATCTAGTTTAACTGTAAAAAAAATAAATAAATAAAAAACAAAACAGAACAGAACAACAACAACAAAAAAACCCTGAAAAGCTCAAATTGCCCTAAACCCTTAGAAGTTGCAAAACCCCACAAAAGACTCTGTGTTTTGGGATAAAACATAGGGTCCAATAAAACATTTTAAGAAACTTGAAAACCAATAACTACAGTGTATTTATCTGTGTCAATTGCAGAGTTGGTTACAGGATTCTCCATTATCAAGTCAAAGGCTGGAAGTCATGTGAGTAGTAAGAAGTTCAGAATCTCTGAATGTGTTGGCTTTGGTTTCTTCATACCCTCCTACAACACAAGCCTTTGTTCATATCCCCTTCTAGCTCCTCTAACCACACCTCTCCCTTTGCCTCCTGGCAGAGCCTGCACTAGGCATGAGGGCTGTCATCAGCTGGCCTTTCAGTGACAGTGCTCCCTCTAGCGGGATATCTCATGACCTGCAATGAACACACCAGCAATCCAGCAGAGGGAGAACAGTGTGAGAACCGACGGGCTGACAAACAGGTGCAAAATTAGGAATGATAAGGATAGCGACAACAGGGACCCTAGCGATGAGAAATAATGATCTTCTCAAAGGTTTAATCCACACAGCTACTCATTTCACAAAGCATATCAGTTGCTAAGTCTTTGTTTCCTTTGGTTTTTATTTTAAAATATTTATTCACTTGAAAGAATTACTGAAAGGGGGTGGGATAGACAGAGGGAAAGAGAGACAGACACTTTCCACCCTTTGGTTCACTCCCCAAATGGCCACAATATCCAGAGCTGAGCCAGGAGCCAGGAGCTTCCTCCAGGTCACCTTCGTAGGTGCAGGGACCAAAAATATCAGTGTCCTCTGCTTCCCTTTCAGGCACACTAACAAGCAGCCAGATGGGAAGTGCAGCAACTGGAAACTGCCCAGATGTGACACCATCACTGCCCGTGGCACAGACCCTTTTTCTTTATATGTATGAAACTACATATGAATCTCCCTCAAGAAAACAAATGGTCATAACAGCAAATACCTTGAAAAGAGAAAACAAAATTTCAATAGACATAGAGAAAAAAAATAGCAGAAAAGGTGATAAAGTAATGTGCAAGTGTTTCTAAAGATTTAAGATGGATCTGTTGTTTGATGATAAATTTAATTTGAAATCTTGATTGAGAGGCAGGGGTTTGGCACAGCGGCTCAGACACATCCCACTGAAGATGGCCACATTCCATATCAGAGTATCTGGGTTCTGCCTTCAACCCAGCTTCCCACTGCTGCAATCAGGGAGTGACCCAGTGCTTGCTTTCTGTTAGCCTTCCTTTCAAGCGAATGAAAATAAACATTTTAAACAAATCTTGAGTTAGACAAATGCACTCAAGTGATCTACCGAGCAACATGGTGACTGCATATGAAATTTTAACTTTATATAAAATTGAAAATTGCTGAGAACAGATCTTTAATAACCCTTAGTACCAAAAATATTAAGTATATGAGGTCATGTTTATTTACACAGCTCAATTTGCCCATTCTGCAGTATATATGTATTTGAAAACAGTATGTAGTAATGATAAATACACGTAATTCTAATTTTTCATTAAAAGCAAGTGACAATTCAAAAATATCTAAGATTTTATCCTTTTGATTTACTAATTTATCCCACTGCTTACAAAAGGATACAGCCTGTAGGTTATTAATGAATCAATGTTTGCTGAATGAATCAATTCTGGGCCTACAGTCAGCTGGCACTGGGAAGGGGCTGCCCCTCTAGACTGCTCATGGACTGGACGGTTTCTGAGGTCCACCTCACCCACTTTAATCCCTGTCTGTCTGGTCCCTACACACTGTGCAGTCTGTGACTCCTCTTCTTGGTTGCCTCTAGTTATTTACTTCCTAGTATAACATTTATCTTTCTATCAATATAGTATTCAAAAAAGCGTAAGTCATAATTGTAGTCCAAGAAGATCATCTATTATCTTTTTTTCCGCCATGGATATTCCCCATGCACAGAACAAATTTCATTAAAACACTGAGGCCTTAAGAATTCTTTGGCGTTGTGCCAAATATGTTTCTTCCTGTCTTCTCTCTAAAGCCCTCGACTGCCAGGGGCTGGCCACCATACAGGAAAGCCTTTCTTTCTTCTTTGGCACCTGCCTGAATATCACCTGCTGTGATGCTTTTGATGATCATCAAGGGCCTCTGTACTGCAAGCCCTTCACCTCTAGCTCAGAATATATATATTTTTAAAAGATTTATTTATTTTTGTTGGAAAGGTAGATTTACAGAGAGAAGGAGAAACAAAGAGAAAGATCTTCAGTCTGCTGGCTCACTCTGCAAATGGCCGCAATGGCCAGAGCTGAGCTGAAGCCAGGAGCTTCCTCTTGGTCTCAAACATGGGTACATGGTCCTTGGCCCATCCTCTACTGCTTTTCCAGCCCACAAGCAGGGAGGTGGATAGGAAGTAGAGTAGCCAGGATACGAACCAGCACCCATATGGGATCCTGGTGCTTGGAGGTGGAGGATTAGCCAGTTGAGCCCTACATAACAATTTTTTAAGTGGCAAAACTGAAGGTGCAGACTGCATAAACCACCCAGATCCTTGTTCTTCTGAACATTTACACAGAAATGCCATTTTTTTCCCTGAATTTCACTTTTCGATTTGGTAACAGTGAACATCTTCTAAGGATGAATATACATCCATGTTGTACGAAATATTTACAATTTTGTTAGAGTTACCTAAAACTCCTCCCAATCTTTGCCTAACTGCCTACACTGATCAATTACAAAGACACCAACTCCTTCGGACTTTCCTGTGTGGGGTCTGTTTAGTTTTGGCCCTCAGTGACTCACCTTAAACCACATCTTAACTTGTATGCTCCCTCATGCTTTCAGGAGCAGGATCTTAAAAAAAAAAAAATTAAAATTCCTCCAGGAGCTTTTCTTTTTTATATTATGTAAAATATGACCATTATCCTTTTCAAATAGCAAACGCACATGTACATGTGAGATATGCCATTAATGGAGGCTGCTATTTTTGTAATGATCTGAGAATACACATGAGAAAAGGCACCTGAAGAACTCCTGTCTATTTACAGTCTTGCTGAGGATCTTCCCTGGGGTCAGTACTGCATAGGGAGAGAAGAAAACAGGAGCTAGGGGAAATGGAGGTGGAAAGAAACGTAAGACTATACCTGCAGACCAATCCTCAGACCAAGCTGCAGAAAGACGGTAGAAGACTGAAGAAGTCTACTTCTACTGTCTTCCTGCAATTTTAACAAATTAGGGAGGGAAGAGATCATTTATCAGTTTTTATATCAAGAAACACAGACTCTTAAATTCACTGCTATTTCACAGTAATGAGATCATTCTCAGAGTTACACATAAAATTTGAAATTTTACTCAGATACTGTAAATGAAAAACAGCTTTGGGACAGGCACACGATGGTGCAGCTAAGGCACCACGTGACACACCTGCTTCCCATGTCAGAAGTGCCTGTGTTCCAGTCAGGCTTCGCTGCTTCGGATACAGCTTCCTGCTAACGCCCGTGACGGTTCAAGTGCTTGGGTCCCTGCTACCTACATGCTGGGTCGTGTCTAAGCTCCTGGCTTTGGACTGACCCAGCCATTGCTGCTGCTGCCATTTGGGAAATGAACCAGCAGTTGGAAGATCTCTGTCTCACTGATTTCCAAACAAACAAACAAACAAAAATCCCACTATTCACCTGTAGGAAAACTCAAACCCTATTTTAATTCAAAGCAATGCATTTTTTCCAGCTGCGCCATGTAGGAGCATCTAGTTACCTTTTCTTGGGAGAGCAGGTCAGAAATCCTGATGGATTCACCAGTGGCTCTTCATCTGCTGTGATGGTAAAAGCCCCTTCTTCTTAATTCTGTTCAGACACACACAACAAAAAGAGCAAAGGGATGAAACAGTGGATAAAACTAATCAAAAATCTATAATCTCATTAGCTGCCAGATGTTCCGAAATTATTACACATGATTTCAAATGTCAATTGTTAAAATTTCAGGGCACTTTGCCAATTCTACAACAAATGCAACTCAGTTTTCCTACTTAATAATGAATTTAATTGGCTATATTTACAACAAACTGGGAACAAATGACTATTCAATATGTATATAGAGTCGGTCTCCTGGGGCTTAAAATCATTCCATGTAATTTGCCACTAATGAGTTTTCACTTAATTTTTAAGGCAGCTATTCAGAAAGCCTGCTCCCATAAAAACTGTCAGAATGAGATTTTTAAAACACATACACGAAGATTATTTGAAATATTTACTCTGCCCTTCATCATTCCACAGTTTACAAAAGCAAATCATAATCCTTTAAACAGGAAACAAGAACTCAATGAAACCATCTTCCCAGAAAGCACAGAGAAATTACGTGCTCTACTGTCTTCACAGTTGTGTGTACATGTGCACATACGTGTTTCAAATAAAATATGGATATTACTTAACCAAAAATGTTGAAGGATTTAGGATTTAAGAACAATAGTTTGAAATTAAGCTGGTTTTCAAATTTGACATGTAAGTACAGGCAGCAGCATAGTTATAAACAGTGCTGTCGGATAAAACACAAGGCTGGCTGATTTCACGGGAAGAATTCGGTAAGAACAGACTGTTTCCCTGTGTCTTCGCTGACTGTACACACCAAGGTTGAGTGACAGGAATACTGCTCTACTCGGCTTGTATTTTTATATATGCTAGGCTGGTAACCTGATAATAATAAGGAAAACTTTGGAAGCTAATGGCTGAAATTCTACACCGTCTTTTTAAACATGGACTGATTTTTTTCCTATATATTGGCTTTTAGTTATTCCTGGATCCCATCTTTTCTCTCTCTCCCTTTTCTGGAACAATCTTGGGTGCTCCTTGGGCATGGTGTCACCTGATCCCCGGCTGCAGCCAGGACCCGACTTGACCAGGGCTGGCATGCGGGAGCTAAGCAGGGGATAGGAACGTGCTCTCATTAGCTCTCTCTCTCTCCTACCCCCCAACCCCGTCTGAATGTCTCTTTCTACCTCTGAAAAAAATAAAACAAAACACATACACAAACACAAACAATTTCAGTTTTATTCACTCAGAAAATGCTACTCAGTAATGCTTAAAATAATCCCTACGATCTTTATAAGCCAGATGTTTCTTTTTTCCATACTTCTAATTTTCTTTCCCAGTCTCTCATATTTTTGAAAATTTCTCACATTTCCATTTTAGGGTTTCTTTTCGGCCTCACTTCCAATGAAAGCCACTAACTTCTTTAACATGTCTGTCCTAAGCCCAAATTCATGTCTTTGCAAACTAAACGTTCTACAGCCATACAAAATCCCTCCCAGTGAGCTACAAATTACTGTGATGGACAGTATCAATAAAAATGCAAGGTAGCCATTCAGCTCTCTGATGGTGATGCCTTCAGAATGGACAGGAATCAGAGGTACAACACCAGCACCAGGCCACATTCTGTGCTTGCTTTTACTCTATTAGGTCTGGTCGAGTTTTTTGTTTCAGTTTTCATCAAAAAAGTTTCTTCAAAGTAGCCAAGACAGTTATCAAATTTGGGGTGCTTTGAAATCTCCCCCAAGATACTTCCAGCTTTAAAAGAATTACTGCATGGTGGATAAAGCCACCTCCTGGAACCCTGGCCTCCCATATAGGCACTGGCTACAGTCCCAGCTGTCCCACTTGCCAATGCACCTGGGAAAGCAGCAGCCAGATCCACATGGGAGACCTGGAAGAAGCTCTTGGCTCCTGGCTTCAGATCAGCCCAGCTCCAGCTGCTGTGGCAACCGGAGGACTAAGCCAACAGGTAGAGATCTCAATATGTCTCTCAGTCTCTTTTTGTAAACTCCGCCTTTCAAACAAATACATTTAAAAAATTCATAATTCACCACGTATCAGCCTGCAAGTCTTACAAATGTGTTACAGGAAACCCTATTCTTGGGGAAAATCACAGTTAAAATAAGCATTTAAAAACTATTTTCCCTGCTTAGAAAAAGGGTCAGGAGTATTTCTTTAGTGTAAAAAAAAAAAAAAAAATTTAAATAGGCTCCAGATGCTTATCCACATTCTATCACTTGATTTTCACAAAAACCCTGTATCCAAAAGCGCCATTATTATGAGTTCTATGAGTGAGGAAACAGACTGAGAGACTGTCCAGATTAGAAACAGGAACTAGGTTCTAGGCCTTCAGTGCTTTTTAGTTCCCTTTCCAGTACATCAAAATACCTAAACTGCAACTTTGCTTTGGTTTGCGAAAAGAAATGGTTTAAAGGGTAAATTGGAGGCAGGATGGGCTGGAAGGGAAGGTGGTGGTATAGCTAGCTAATCCTCCATATACTGCACCATATTCCACATGGGCACCAGTTCATATCCCAGCTGCTCTGCTTGTGATCAGGCTTCCTGATGATGGCCTGAGAATGCAGCAAAGGGTGGCCCAAGTCCTTGTGTCTCTGCACCCAGGTGGGAGAAACAAGAAGTTTCTGGCTCTCGGCTTTGCACTGCCCTCAGCCCTTCATCTTTCTCTGTAATGCTGACTTTCAAGTAAAATAAACAAATTGTTTAAAGAAAATATAGACTGGGGAAATTTTATGGAAACTACAGAATTTGATACTTTTTTGAAAAAAGAAGATTTATTTAAAAGTTAGATATACAGAGAGAAGGAGAGACAGAGAAGGAGATCTTCCATCTAATGATTCACGCCCCAAGCAGCCACAATGGCCAGAGCTGCGCCGATCCAAAGCCAGGAGCCAGGAGCTTCCTTCAGCTCTCCCACACAGGTGCAGGGTCTCAAGGCTTTGGGGCCATCCTTGATTGCTTTCCCAGGCCACAAGCAGGGAGCTGGATGGGAAGCAGGGCTGCCGAGATTAGAACCAGTGCGCAGTGGGATCCTGGCTCATTCAAGGAGAGGATTTTAGCCATGCAAAGCAGGACATCAGCATCTAGGCTACCTGGCCAGCCCAACTTGATACCTTTTATTCATTCATCTTCTACATTGCAACAAGTATTCAGTTTTTTTTCAGTTTCTTTTAAAGGATGGCCAATTGGAGGCAGAAGAGAAGGAAATGAGGATATATAACTGTAATGTTCTCCAAAACTGAGAGATTTAAATCTATAATTTATTTGCCTTTTATTTATTTGCTCTTTTTTTTTTTTTTTGATGAGGCAAAGAACACAAGATTATAGAAGACATTTTGTCTTGTGGAAGTGCCTAGTCCATGGTAAGCCTTTTTTTCTAAGCACTATGCAATTCTCAAGCCCATGGCAAGCCGTATTTCTATGATGGGGTTCCACATTCTTCTAAATTTAGGCAAAGATGGACACAAGATTCATCTGAGACATTGAATTTATTCTCTCAGCAACTACGAAGTTGTTGTCTCCTATGAAGGAGAGAGTCGAGTTTTGCGCAGGTTGCAATGTACCACAGTATACTCCCAGTCTACAGCAAACAGTAATCAGCCAAGAGAAAGAAGAATGAATGTGTCACTCACATTGACACTGACCCAAGGATTTGCAGAGTCTCAAAGAAACATAAGGAAAACTCCCTGCCTGGAAGGTACCTGGGCTCTCCTGCCCCGTCTAGTGCCCCAGTGGCCCAATGCAAAGACCCTAAGAACCCTTTCAACTGCAGGAATAAAGGGCTCCCCTCTTTATGAGCTTCATTTGTTTTTTGGGGTTTTTTTTTTTTTAGATTTATTTATTTATTGGAAAGTCAGATATACAGAGAGGAGGAGAGACAGAAAGGAAGATCTTCTGTCCGATGATTCACTCCCCAAATGAGCACAACAGCTGGTGCTATGCCGATCCAAAGCCAGGATCCAGGAACTTCTTCTGGGTATCCCACAGGGGTGCATGGTCCCAAAGCTTTGGGCCGTCCTTGACCGCTTTCCCAGGCCACAAGCAGGGAGCTGGTTGGGAAGTGAAGCTGCCGGGATTAGAACTGGCGTCCATATGGGATCCTGGAGCGTTCAAGGTGAGGACTTTAGCCACTAGGCCACGCTGCCGGGCCCGAGCTTCATTTGTTTTGAAGTGATTTCTGACAACTCTCACTCAGGGAGAGCCAGGCACCCTGATCTGGGATGCGGGTGTCCCAAGCGTAACATCATCTGTCATGCCACATTGCCCACCCCTGGAAGTAACATTTCTACATCTTTTTATAACTCTGAGAGCCCATTACAATTTCAGCTTTAAACTGCTGCCTAACCAATCAAATCTATTAAAATTAAGCTAAAACCTAGTAACCATGACAAAGAAAATAAAGTATAAATTAAACCAGTCTTGTTTTGAAGCAAACAGTAAAATTTTTTGTTGTTTACATTTCCTTAATTTTTAGGCAAACCACCAAGCTTCAATGTGAGACTGGCACCTAAGTGCTTGGAGAGGACATGCAAGGGTGGAGAAGCAGCTGGAGAAGTCGGTCCTATAAGGAGTACAACTCCAGGAGTACTGATTAGGAAAACATAATAAATCTTAAAGGCCAATTTCAGTCTCTTCACCCCATGCATGGAAATACTGAAAACCAAGAAACATTTGCTCCAACTGGTTCTTTACTTACAAAAACATGGTGGGAATGTGCTCTCTGTCAAAGGCTGGGCCTGTCGCTTGAATCTGCAACATGGTGAGCCGAGCCACCCAATGCCCAGGTAATACAATTTACCCTCCATCCTTTGTCAGTCACTGCATACACAAAGTACATAGGTCTAAAATAGTCAATATGTTTATGTCCCATAGTGATATTGGGGAAGAAAATGTGAATTGCATGCATTATTAATATTTAGTTAAGAGGGAGAAAGAGACCCATAAAACCGCAACTTCCTGGTCTTAGGACCAGCTCCTCTGCAGACATAGCTGGCTTCTACTGTGTTCTAAGTTGCCTCTTCTCACTGGCTAGGTCCCTTCCAAAGAACTCATGTGTTTCTAGAGACAATTATGACCCTGAGCCTAAAATGTTTTCCTTAATATTTTCTCCCCCAAAATCTAAAAGCAGGAGATCAAAACTGTGTAAGTTTTTATATTGATGGCAAGGATATATAATGTCCCATGCCAGTTCCACCCCACTTTTCCCACTGAGAGTTTTTCTCCCGGGGCAAACTAAACTGAACAATAAAACTGTGTATCCTACATACCCTGTCTCCTCAGTGGTGTTCCTGGACACCCTCCTCTTCAAAAAGGTCAGCCTACTGAGGTACAGTGACTGCTCTCAACATCATCTCACTGAGCACCAAGGATGACTCGTTTGAACACACAAGGTCCATTACCAGGAAGGACTCCAGCAACCCCAGCCTAGGTCTCAGGGGTATATATTTCATCCTAGGGTTACCCCAACCCTTCAGGGAACTCCTCACGCAGAGCTTTACTTTTGAGATGCCTCCATTTCTGACAGCTTCTCTGACCCACATGACAGAAGAACCACCCTCTCCTCCCTGCAGGTGGGTCCCAAGAAGCTGCCAATCACTCACTCCTTTGCCATGTCAGGATGCAGCTCTCTTACATCAACTCTCTCAGAGAAGAAAAGCTTTCTCTCCTGGCCTCTATGAGCTAGCTCATGGAGGAAGGTCAGCAAACCATTTTTCATCAATTGTAACTACAGTGTATTACTTCTCCACTAGCCTAAAAGAGAACTGAAAATACACTAAAATTATGAGTAGTTCTCCAATTTGTCACTGAGCAAAAAACCTTGCTGATGTCAGATCTGAAGGGCAACCAAAGCTCATGACAGCAGTAATAGAAGTACATGCAGCAGCAAATATTTATTGAGCACTGTGTCCCCAGAATTAAAACAGAGCAAGCCCTTTGCATGTACTTCGTCATCCCACTTAACCCTCACAGGGCTGGAAATGTGGGAACTCCCATCACTGCTCTTTAACAGAATTGAGGCCTTTGGAACCAAGCCAGCCAGTAAGGAGCAGAACCAAGGCAAGCTGCACACTCGACTTGAACTCAAGACCTTTCCTTCCACTGCCATATAAAACAGCTCTTCCCTGATTTTCCATACCTGTTGTTCCTATGCCGTGTACTTCTAAAGTCACATCCAGTCTTCAAAGCCTATCTTAGATATAACCTTAATTCATACCACATCTGCCATCCCAAGTGGCCCTTCTAGAGGGCAGGGGCTGCAATGACAGCTGCTGAACTGAACTAGATCCCACTGAAGCACAGACTGAAAACAGGCCACTCACTCAAGTTAGTGGGTGGCTGAGATGTTCCTGCCTTGTTGAAGACTCCAATGAGCTGCAACAAGAAGCTGCTCTGGCATTTACACTCCCTCTTCCTAGTTAAATTCAACTATAGACAAGGAGGAAGGAGAGGAAGATGAGAGGCAAGTAAGTTCAGAACCCCCCTTTACAGCCAAAAAAAAAAAAAAAAAAAAGTGTAAGCTTCGCTGGAGGAGGGTGGCCTGTGTGTGACAGAGAGGATTTTTTCCCTAGTATTCTGGAAGGGGGAAATTAATTTATTGACTTGGAGGAACAGATTTCTAAAGTGCATATAAAGTTCTCTCAGTCAAATCATTCTTTGCTAGTTTTAAATGGTCCCTTTTAGGAAACATGCTAAATATAGGGAATAACTAGTGAGCATTTCATTCTAGGGAATATATATATTTTTTTATATATATATAAATATTTTTAATTTATCTTTATTGCAAAGTCAAATATACAGAAAGGAGGAGAGACAGAGAAGAAGATTATCTGTCTGCTGATTCACTCCCCAAGTGGCTGCAATGGCTAGAACTGCGCCGATCCAAAACCAGAAGCCTATTCCAGGTCTCCCACGCGGGTGCCTTGGGGCTTTGGGCCATCCTCTACTGCTTTCCCAGGCCACAAGCAGGGAGCTGGATGGGAAGGAAGTGGGGCCGCTGGGACATGAGCTGGCGCCCATGTGGGATCCTGGCATGTACAAGGTGAGAACTCTAGCCACTAGACTATCATGCTGGGCCCAGGAGCCATACTTATTAACAGTTACCAGTAGCTACTTTCACTAGGTGTTTACTATGGACCAGACCCCATGTTAAACTTTTAACATGTTCTGTCTTAATTTTCACCATAGCCCTATGAAGAAAACTTGTAACTGTAGAAATGCAAATCTACAGATAAACGGCTTGTACAAGTTCACCACCAAATGGTTCCCAGAAAAGGCAAAGGCTACTGGGAAAATGTGTAATTTTTGTTAATACTCTTTATTAGGAGCTATTATTTTTTCACCCTCTTTCACTTCCCCCAAAAAGGCTGTTTCTTCTCTGAAAGAACCAGGGACAAAATCCTCCTCTTCTAGCCTTTCTAAATTTTATGTGTGATAGTCTGCACGCCCACATGCTGTCTTCCTGAGCACACAGTTGGATAAAATTTCTCCATTT